CAAGCAAATGGCTTACAAGACCTTGGGTCCATCTTTCTATGCACCCTTCATAGGCCTTACTTGGGCCAAGTTATTTTAAGGAAATAATATACAATTATCAAATTTTAAAACTACATTTTTAAATTTGACAGACTTGTGACTTTTTTTTTTCAAAAATGAGATGATTTTAATTAAACAAATGATTAAATTAATTAAGATATCATAATAAAATACAATTTATATTCTCAATTACGTGTTAATCTCAATCACATAACGTCACAATTACAATGACACAGAATATAGATCACATTTGCAAATTTAGTTACAAATCACATATTTTTATAGGCACAACTTATTTATTGATTACAAATTATCAAATTAATGGATCATAACTTATTTCTCGATCATAAATTATTAAATAACTAGTCACAATTATTCAATTTAATTGTCGCAAATTAACCTTCATCTCCCGACCTCTCCCTACCCCTACCCCTTCACTTTCACCACCATCGGCACCACCTAAAATGCGCTATTGCCTCAAATTTACAACCCACCATCTCTAACGCACCACCACCACATGTACCAACACCAATTGCCACCTTACTGCTACTACAATAGAACCACCACTAGCATCACCGCACATATTGCACTAACAACCATCAGCACCATACTCGTAACCATTATCACCGTCACCCAGATTGCACCAAAAAAACATCAATATCGCCATACACACCAAAAACCCATCAACACCACATGTGCCGAAAGTAGTGGTGCCTACCACTATGCAGATCGCTGCAGCGCTAAACACTACTGCTACAACAACAGCGACACTTGTTGTTTTTTATAACAGCACGCAATGTCATCCATCGTTTTGCATGTCGACGTGAGCGACCATGCTACCGTTTGTGGGTTGTGGTGATGGTGAAACAATAAAAGGACTTAATTGCTATGCTGAGGGTGATCGTGACTAGAGTTAGTGGTGACAACCGGTCAAATCTTCAACAAAACAGAGAGAAAAGTAGAGTGAGAGATATTCATTTGTTTTTGAATTAGTGGGTGATGTAGGTGGTCGAGGGGTAGGCTAGGGTGGATGCACCTGATTTTGTAAAGAAAAATCTTTGCATCTAATTCTTGAACTAGAAAGACAAAAAATCATAAGTCAGGTATTAAGTATGTACCAAATTAGTTTTCGTACATTAAGTTTAAAAATGCAAAAGTTAAGTGTTAATTCAATATTTTAATTCTAAATAATAATATTATTAAATTAAGTCCATGTTTGAGTCACATTAAAATTTTCATTTTCATTCTTCTATTCATTTTCAGCAACACATTTTTCAATAAAATAATATTTTTTATTTCATCAATAACTTTTCATTCTTTTCAACCACACAATCTCCATCAATTTTGTAACGCCCCAAATTTTATTGATTTAAATTTTGGGGTGTTACCGATATCATTTCATAATAATATTAAAAACAGAAATATTTAATTGAAAATTTAAACTTTTAATTTATTTGAACATTTATATATTGAATCAAACATAGAATCACGAAATCTAGAACATTTAATAAAAGCAAAGAAAACACAACTATCGTAACATAATTTATTATTGAATACTTTTCCAAAAATTATACTTTGCAGTCTACGCACCGCTCAGCCACCATCCACGTTGACCGGTCTAACTTGAAATGTTAAAATTTTAAAAGAATGAGTAATTTAAACTTAGTAGGATACGTACATCCAAAACAATATAATAACTTTTTAAATATAAATTTACAATATTCCATACCATCATTTCATCAAGAGCAATCAGATATCAATCGAATGCTCTAACACATTTCTGTGCAACATTTGAGAAAACTCGAAGGAGATCTCACATTTCATTTCATTTCATTAAGACCCGCAGGCCAATTAGCATATCATGAAATAAATTACGTAGAAAAAATCATAATATTGTAAGGACATAACAACTTGCACATAGTATCCTCCTATTTAGATCAGATAATTCGAAAGGCTACAAAATCACGTTCAGGATCTTTATTCCAACTATTGTCGTGTTGAAAATTTTTGTTTGGTGGAAAAATTCTATTGCGCTCATATGGTTATATGTAGAGGACAATCACTGATAAATGTAGTAGTCTAATTTACTCTCCTTTTCACTATCCAATATAGGCATGTGGCAAACTGCTATCAAAAGTCAAAAAAATAATATAGAAATGAATAATGCAATGTATGTATTTAAAGTTGGAAGGAAAATTGAATTTTAACAGCCCGAAGAATCTGCAAAAATGTCTTGTTGATCCCTAAGGAGTCTCAATCACGTCATTCCATTCAATCAACTTTATTTATTTAATCAACACGTGAGCCTATCCTTACCCAGCCCTAAGATTAAAACGAATTTAAAAGAAGAAAGAAAGAAACCTGTCATATCTATCATCTAGCCTACATGTGCCAACTAACATAATACAATTCAAAATAAAGGTAGAACCTCCACACACGTGGCACCATCTCCATTTCTTTTCAAGGTCTTAATTAAAATGAAGACAAGTTTTTAAAGAACTTCTTCAAGCCACAATACCTTGGAGCTGACTTATCCGAATTGACTTTTTTTCGAACCAAATAAACATAATTAATTACGAATTATCCAACGAGCCAAAATTTATATATTTATTATTACTCTATCAAAATTTAAA